TATTAAGCTTATTAAGCTATTAAGCTTATTAAGCTATCGAATCTTTGCTTTTAACACACTCGTGGATAGAGTTTGTGCAGAAAAGTAGCTCTTTTCTATGAAATCTTATTTGATACTTTGATTTTGAATATCTCTGATTCTCTTGTCCTTCCTCTAAAGATCGTTTGTGTGATTATGTGAAAAGGGGACGGAGCCCACTTTGTATTCTTTTTCTTTGGCTTTGAAACACTGAACCAACGATTGATTCTATTTATTGAATTCTCGCTAGATTAGTGATTGTGCTATAATCGGAATAAATAGCTAAATAATCATTGCCCATCGGTACCCTTTCACACACTTCACAGAGTTAATGAATGATCCCAACGATCCAGGTTAAAAATCAACTCTTTTAAAAGATTAGTCTTTAAAATCTTACTAATCTAAGCAAAATCGCTTTGCCCGATTGTAGGACATTGGCGAGTCGACGACGAGAAAACAGCTGCCCGATGCTGAGGCTGAGATGGAACTCGCTGGGCAATGGGAAATTGCAAGTTCTGAAGTCAAGTTTTGAATTATGAAACGAGAGCTTGCTTTATTTTGTTTTTGGATTGCGATACAGTGACTGTAAGGACTGTAACCTGTAAGGATACCTGTAAGGACAGCCATTAAAAGTAACGTCTTTGCAAATTTGAGCACCATTTTTGAGAACTTCTCAAATCAATCCGAATATCTTTTGCCTTTTATCCCCCGGCCACGCCCAATCGTCGACTTTCCGTCAACTAGATTTCAAAATTTCTTTCATTATCAGTTCAAATTTACTAAACAAATTGAATTCATACAGTCTTATTTTTCTTTTTCGCTTCCTCTCTCCCCGTTTTATGACGTTTATGTAAATATAATAAGAAAAAGCTGAAGGGAAAACAAAATCGCTAAAGATTATCTTAAATTTGACGCTTATCAATGAGTTTTAAAATTCTATTTACGAAAAATATTTGTTTTGTTTCTTTTTCTTATGCAAAAATGATGTCTATTATCTGCTTACTGGTAAAATGGATACATACAAAATAGTGGCTAAAACCGTATCTCAAATTCTTCTCTGACATCACTCACCTTTTATTTTCGACAGGCATTTGAATAACAAACTTGAATTGATAATAACAGAAGGTTTCGAAATCATAATTGGCGTTAAAATGGTCTATAAAAAGGTGAATAATTTCAGGAAAAGATTGAGAATCTTTCAGGGGAAGATCTCACAAAAAATGCTGCTCAAATTCACGAAGACGATTCTTTTCGTGGCTGTGCTTACAGGTTTGAGAGCCTAAAGAGGCTTTTACTTTCAATTTCACTTTCATTTAGCTTATCATTTTTGAATTTAGTTTAAATTCAGATCTTTTGAGTGCTTATTGTCCAAAAAATTCGATTCCCTCGTCGAAATCGGAAAGTTGCTTTGTCATCGTCGACACGCAACTCTCCTACAATCAGGCGAAACGCTTTTGCGAAAACTAGTAAGGCTGATAATTTTTAAAGATAGAAATATAAATTATTGATATATAAATCCTCTTTTAAAAGCAAACTTTAAAAAATTTAGTTTTGATGGAACACTAGCTTCAATCGAAAACGCTAAAGACAACTGGAACATCATGATAGCCGGTCGGGATATGGTAAAATCTTTTACTTGACATAACAAGGAAAACTATGAGCTATAAAAGAAAGCTTAACTTGTTTTCTAAAGCCTAGCTCTTTAGAATTCGGTAACTTTTTGGGTTGGTGGCTTCTTTGACGGGAGGAATGTGACGTGGGAGGATGGAACGGTGAGCCAAGCTCCCTACACAAACTTTAGAGGTAAAAAGAAAACAACAACAACAATATGTAACAGTAAGCAAACAAATTTTATATAGAAATATTAATTAAAATATTATTGGTAAAAATTAGGTTCAAATCCGAATCCTGGAAATATCTACGTGCAAACGGAGGATGGCATTTGGGCTACCGATAGCTACAATACAAAGCTCTCGTTTGTCTGTGTCGCTAATAAAAGTTTGTTTGTTTTTTTGTTCAGAAATAACTAATTTTACGTTTATACTTCTTAAAGAATGCAATAAAATTGAATCGCTCTCACTTTTTAGTTTCAGCTGTTACGCTAGAGATAGTCTTGATTAGACTTTTGACTAACGAGAGTCGCGCAACTCCAGGCCCTTGATCTAGCCTCCAGAGTATTGAATTCCAACCAGGTTTTTCTTAATTTAAAAGCCAAGACTTTAAGCTACCTAATAATACCTATCACTTATGATTTTCTTTTGAAAAAGTCAATCCAAAACCGATCGAGATTTGACGAGATAACGAGGAATTGTCTCATTAAATTTCGATAAGGTTTTTGACTGACTTTTTCTAAAGAAAACCTATAAGTAATAGGTATCATTAGATAGCTTAAAGTCTTGGCTTTTAAATTTTAAAAAAGTTCATGGGAATGCCATACTCTGGTGGCTAGATAAAGCGCTTGAAGTAGAGCGAACCATTTTTCTCGTTAACTCTCGTTAGCCAAGTCTAAATCTATAGAAATTGTTTATAAATAGATAAATTAATAAATAGATCTAAAGTTATAGTTTTCTTAATATATTCTTGACTTCATAAAAACCATGTGCTTCTTTCAGCATCAATAAAACCCCATTGCCCAAAGTTTGCCGTGAAGAGCTCATCGGGGGACAGTTGCTATTTCCCAGTCAACGTCTCTCTTTCTTATATTCTGGCGCAACCCTTCTGCGTGAACTAGTGAGTAATGCGTGGAAATAGAAAAATTTACAAAAATATCCTCCAGAAAGCAGAAATGTAGCAGAAAGAGGGAAATTCTAGTTTCGGCGCTAATCTGGCTTCGATTCCGAGCGCCGAAGACAACCAAATTGTGATGAAGGCGGCTCGCGATGCTTTTGGAGATGTGAGTATTGCTTATCTTTTATTGTCTAGAAATTGTCTTTGATAAAAAGTCGCGTATGCACTTTTAGGATACGATAACGGTGTGGCTTGGTGGTCTCTTTGATGGGATCCGCTTGCTTTGGGAAGACAAATCAGCGGCGACGTACACGAATTTTCAAGGCAAGAAATGTTAAATATCAATAATTGAATGAATTCAGATCAAAAACCGAATACTGGCTACAGTTTCTCCATGGATTTAAGGACAGGCATTTGGCCAGCCGTCTCCTACGATCGAACATATCCGTTCATTTGTCGAAGTATGAATAGTTAATCGATTTTGCAAGATGTTCCGGTTTTCCAGCTTTTCCATTTCTAAAGGTAAATAAAAGTATTTGATTGAACGGGGCAAAAAAATATCAAAAAATAACATTCAATCATAAAATCTTTCAAATATTCTTCATTATCTTTATGCTTTGAGCTCATTTTACTGGTAAAAGTCGGATTCCTTATAGAAAATCTTGAGTTTTAACGCGAACCAATCCACTATGACTGTCCTGGGCCCATCGACCAGACCCTAACTTGGCCAGGGTCAGGCTCTAGTCTGGTCTGACTTACAGGTTGAACACGGTTAAGCCTAAGCCTAAGCCTAAGCCTAAGCCAAAGCCTAAGCCTAAGCCTAAGCCAAAGCCTAAGCCTAAGCCTGAGCCTAAGCCTGGGCCTGAGCCTAAGCCTAAGCCTAAGCCTGAGCCTAAGCCTAAGCCTAACCTAAACCTGAAGCCTCAAGCCTAAGCCACTTTTTGACATCATCGTCGCAATCAATCAATCAAATCAAATCAATTTCTTGGCCAAATCATTATCTATCGCTGGAATCAGGAGTCATTTTTGATATCAAAGCGTCATTTCGTCGTTTCAGACTTTAAATTCTTTAAGTTTCAGCCCATTTTTCCCAAGATCAGGGCTGTATGCAGGATGCCACCATCCTGCATCTATTCATCCATGCAGAATGTCACCATCACCTCACATCCAAGTGAGTTTAATGTAGAACGAGTCATCTTTGAAACATGTGGTCATCTGGCCGCTTCCTCCTCTGATCAAATGGGCCAAATGCCTGCTCTGACCTCCCCTCGGATATGAGAATATGGGCTCAAGTGATACACTTTACTACAATGCGAAAACTTCTCGAAAGACTCCAATCAACGATCCGAGATGCCTTGGGAACAATCAACCAGCGAAAAAGAGGGAAAACTTCAAAAGATGGTATGGTGGTGGTGATAGATAGATACAAAGTACAAAGTACAAATAGTACAAAGGTACACTAGCAAAAATATACCAAGCGGTGTCTTCTACAAGCGGTTTTCTTGTCTTCTACAGCTTCTTTAAGTCTTCAAGTCTACAAAATGCTTACTTTGAAACGGGAAAAGTCTCGTGCTCGCCATTTGTTTGTCTCTTTTTTCTAAGAGTCAATTATGAAGATGATGTTGAAAGATCTTTATGGTAATCTTTCTTGAGGAAAGTCGAGTGAAGGCGAGACTCATCAAATGATTAAGTGTTTATGCTTTTGTGCTTATGTTAATGCTGTTTACTTTTGTACTTTTCTTTATGCTTATGTTAATACTTTTACTTTTAAATTGATCTTGATTAAATCACAAAAAAAGATCAAACTTCGACTCACAATCAATTTTGTTCTCAATTTTTTTTATTCCCAACCAACCTTTCCCGCTCTTATCAGTTATTGAAGGTGATTTTTGTGATACGAACTCGCAAAAAGCTAACTCATTTTGCTAAAAACACCAGAAATTTATTATTTTGTGAGAAAGAAACCTTTTCAAATGTCTATCTTTACGTCGTTAAACTGTTCTCAATGCGGATTACCATGTAACTTTCACTTTGTTTAGCAAATTTTCTTTAATAAACCTCTTTTTTGGGATTCAAATTTAGATTCAAGCTCAGCTAAAGATTCAAACGCTCCAACACAAACTTATTGTCCGAACATTTTGTCGTTATGCATGAAATGCTATCAAGATCGACAAAGGAACGAAAAGGAGGAGAGGAAGCAGAAATGTCCTGGATATAATTGCTTCTCAATTCACACGAATCCATCGTATTATTTGATGGGTGAGTGAAAATAAATACCGTACTCTCTCTAATAGTAGTGCACTCCGGCGAGCCGAGTTGATGACCATTTTACGGTTTCCAAGCTTTCACAGAAGCTCAACACTCTAATCTCCCACTAGATCTCATCGTCAGCTACATTTTTCGACCCCACATCGATAGGTTTTGATAAGCGGTTCTCGAGATTTGGAGGAATTTAGACAACGCTTAGGGTGCACTACTATTAGAGAGAATAGGGTAACTAAATGTGTTCCATTACTGAGCATTAGATTGGACCTCAATTATATATACCGTCTTCTCTCTAATAGTGGTGCACCCCGTCGAGCCGAGTTGGTGACTATTTTACGGGTTCCAAGCTTTTGCAGAAGCTCAACACTCTAATCCCCCACTAGATCTCATCGTCAGCTACATTTTCCGACCCTACATCGATAGGTTCTGATAAGCGGTTCTCGAGATTTGGAGGAATTTAGGCAACGCTTAGGGTGCACTACTATTAGAGAGAATAGGGTAGTTTTAAGACTAGACCTCCCAACCTTCTCCATTTCGGCCTTCAAATCGAGATGAGATCCTTGTGAAGGTCGGGGAAATACACCTTGTAGGCCTTGATCTGCGGGGTGACAGTTTGATGTGTCTCGAGGAAAAGTTGATTGATCTGAACTTGAGATTTTTATATACCGTATTCTCTCTAATCGTAGTGCACTCCGGCGAGCCGAGTTGATGACTATTTTACGGTTTCCAAGCTTTTGCAGAAGCTCAACACTCTAATCCCCCACTAGATCTCATCGTCAGCTACATTTTCCGACACCACATCGATAGGTTCTGATAAGCGGTTCTCGAGATTTCGAGGAATTTAGGCAAGGCTCAGGGTGCCCTACTATTGGAGAGAATACGGTATAACGTAAATGCTGTGTTAGAAGGGATCATGAAGATTGTGCCGGTGTGTAAAAGCAAAAATTGCGCCAAATGGAATTGCCATTTGCCATTTACCATTTGCCATTTGCCATTTTCCATTTACTAATTGCCATTTACCATTTACCATTTACCATTTGCCATTTACCATTTCGCTTTGTGCAAGTCTGGTATTCATATTTTCTGTATTCAGATTACCGACTATCAATTTGCGAGTAAGCATTCTGAAAAGGCAAACTCTAGTCTTGAAAAACGTTTACAAAACCCACTCATTTCAGATCTGCTCTCAAGGAATTTTCTAGAATTGCACGCAAAAGAATATACTTTGATCTCGTGCCAATCGATCACCCTTCCCGAGTGTCCAATTTGTCATGAAGAGTGTAGATTTTTAAGCAAAAAAGACTGAAACCAAAATATTTACAGATTCAATCGACACCCCTGAACGAGAACCATACGGTCTCCAATGTGGCCATGCAATCTGTAATGGTTGTTTCTCAAATCTCTCAACTCAAACCTCATCTGGAACCTTTAAATACGGCCTTCTGTGCTGTCAATGCCAAGCTCATCACATCTACAGTCAGAAATCGTGGGAAAACCCGTTAAAAGGTTGCTTTGGTTGCTTGGGTTGCTATTTTTGAATCTTGTTTTTAGCATTTCTAAGAGAGATGTCACAGCTATCATCTGGTGACTTAAAGCCAAAAGAAGAGCTAAAAATTCAACCAATTCAACCAATTCAACCAATTCAACTAATTCAACCAAATTCAATACAGCCAAATCGAAATGAAGGTGACTTAAAAAGTTGCGAGAACTGCGGAAATGAAGTTGTTTTTGTTAAATTGCTTAAAATCAATCAGGCTTTCAGTTTTCTCTTCTCGAAATGTTTCTTTGCAAGGATTGTGACATAAAGGTTGATGCAAAGGCTTATGGAAAATACTTTATCAAACCAGGGCTTGATCAAATGGCCTTTATGGTCGGCTAGGGTCAGATCCTGGCCCTGGTTTAGCCCTGGTTTGGTTTTGACATCGTTGTTTGGCCTTTATCAGACCAGGGCTTTATCAAATGGGCTTTATGATCGGCTAGGGTCAGATCCTGGCCCTGGTTTGGCCCTGGTTTGGTTCTGACATCGTTGCTTGGCTCTGTTCTGGTCTAAAGTTGATACTTTTGCATTATCTGGGGGAAATTCCATGAGTTTGACTCCTTTTTTTGAGATTCACAGAGCTCCAGACACACACCTGATGCAAGTGAAAGTTCCAATCAACAATGGTTTGTAGACATCTCTAATTCTTGCTCACAAAATTTGATTGTCGAATTTTCGTTGAACGAATGAACTTAAGAATTGTGACAGACTTGAGCCTTGAATCCTCGAACTAAATTGTTCACCATAATGACAGGAATGGAGTCTGTAAGTCTCATGTAGACAGATTGATTGCATCCCCAACGATAGTGATCTGATCCTTGAGATCGATCATCTCGGTTTGGAGCGACATTCGATCACCTCTCGGATAGTTTGACTCTTGAATTTGACATTTGACACTTGAATTCATTATTGATAAAGTAGACGATTTAAAGTAGACCTTTTTCTACTTAGTAGACCAAAGTAGACCTTTTTCGAAAAAGCGCTGATTTCCGAGATTTCATGATTCACGAAAAAACGCTGATTTCATTTTGAACTAAAGTGGGACAAATTGTTTTCATCTCAGGCTCTTATATATCTTATTTCTTTTTTTGCCATTTATCGAGCTAATGTGACGTGTTTTCTGTAATCATAAAACATCTATTTTGCCATTGACATTTCCTCCAGCTAATTTTTTGTTTCTGAGATTCCCCCCTTCAGATAACACAAATGTTTAGCTTTACATTTAAAAAACTGTTAAAAGTTACAGTTAAAAACTGTAAGTTCTTTATACAAATCCCTAACAAAAACTCAGATTTGCGCCTTGTGTTCAATGAGGAAACACCGCTCGCACGAGATCGTCGATTTGAAGGCCGAAATGGAGAAGGTTTGAAGGCCTAGCCTTAAAACTATCGTATTTTCCCTAATAGTAGTGCACCATGATCGTCGTCTAAATTGCTCGAGATCTCAAAAACCGCTTATCAGAACCTATCGATGTGGGGTCGGAAAATGTAGCTGACGATCAGATCTAGTGGGGGATTTGAGTGTTGAGCTTCTGCGAAAGCTTGGAAACAGTAAAATAGTCCTCAACTCGGCTCGGCTTGGTGCACTACTATTAGAGAGAAGACGGTATATATAATTGAGGTCCAATCTAATTCTCAGTAATTGAACACATTTAGTTACCTTATTTTCTCTAATAGTAATGCGCCCTAAGCTTTGCCTAAATTGCTCGAAATCTCAAAAACCGCTTATCAGAACCTATCGATGTGGGGTCGGAAAATGTAGCTGACGATGAGATCTAGTGAGGGATTAGAGTGTTGAGCTTCTGCGAAAGCTTAGAAAATGGTCGCCAACTCGGCTCGGCTGGGTGCACTACTATAAGAGAGAAAACGATATTAGTCTCAATATTGATAAAAATTTCAATAAGATCTTTGAAGTTGTTTTCTATCTATCGAAATCTTTCTACAATTGTAGAAAACACCCAACGTCCTCCAATAGTTTGCCAAATTGTCAACAAAACAAATCTAAAATAGTCATCAACTCGGCTGGACCGGGTGCACTACCATTAGAGAGAAGACGGTTTATAAAAATCTCGTTCAGATCAATCAACTTTTCCTCGAAACACATCAAACCGTTACCCCGCAGATCAAGGCCTACGATGTTTGTTTCCCCGACCTTCACAAGGATCTCATCAACCACATTTCAAATGTTCAGAAAGTAAATTTTTAAGAAGACTTTCTTTCTGATATCGAATCTAGAAACTTATTGCTCAAATCGACAAAATCGAGACGCTCAACTTTGATTCGGCAAAGAGAGAGCAGGAGAAATGCCTGTAGAATCCTAATTTTTTCAAATTTTTACAAAGTTTAACTTTTAGAGGTAATGGTGGAAAATTTGAAGAGATTTGTGAGAAATATTTATCAGATTTGCGAACATGTAACACCAGGTTAGAGGTGAGTGAATGAGCTCTAGAAAAACATAAATAACTTCGAAATTTCAGAACCTCTTTGTTGAGATTGATTACCCATTAGAATAGATGTTCGGAAATTGATTGAAGCTTCAAATAAAGTTTTTACAATTCTTGTACTACTCAAAAATTCTCGCTTTTTCAAGAGTATCTTAAAATTGGATTCCTCTGAAAGCTAAACTTGTCAAAATCTCCATTTGATCACTGACTTCTGCCTTTGTTTTTCCAAAAGCCAGCTTACAACTTAAAATAGACAATCAAGACTTTGCAAAACTCGAATCGTTCGGCCTTTTGACACTTTCGGCATTGACGTTCGGCACGTTCGGCATTGACGTTCGGCACGTTCGGCATTGACCTTCGGCACGTTTGGCATTGACGTTCGGCACGTTTGGCATTGAGGTTCGGCATTGTCGTTCGGCATTGACGTTCGGCATTGACGTTCGGCCCGTTCGGCATTGACGTTCGGCATTGACGTTCGGCTTTGACGTTCGGCACGTTTGGCATTGACGTTCGGCACGTTTGGCATTGAGGTTCGGCATTGTCGTTCGGCATTGTCGTTCGGCATTGTCGTTCGGCATTGACGTTCGGCATTGACGTTCGGCATTGACGTTCGGCATTGACGTTCGGCTTTGACGTTCGGCACATTCGGCATTGACGCTTTCGACAACACGTTCGGCCTCCAGCTGGGTTCTCTTATCGTTTTTCTTGAGCCACAATTTTCTTTTGTTTTTTCTAATCCATTCAGCTATCTTGGAGAGCCACTTGATAAAATCATAACTGGAAATTTGCTTTACTTCCATTTTATACATAATTTTATTATTTTCAAAAACTTTTATAAACTTTATAATGACCAAAAAAACATTTTGAACCCTGAGGGACTTGAACCCCGAGCCTTTCGATCTGGAGTCGAACGCACTACCGTTGCGCCAAGGAGTCATCTGGCAGGTGCTGCAAAATTTTGCTTTTATCGAGATCAGCCACATCGTTTTAAATTTCAGCAGACGAAAATTAGCCTTTTCTTCTGTTAAAAAAGTTACTTTCTGGGTATGCTGGCTTCACGCGCTTGTAACTCGGTGAAAAACGTTCGGACCACCGCATATGTGGTACCATAATGATCCTTAAATACTTTTCTACAAATTTGAATCAAAAATTCTTGACGAAAATTTGTTCAAGTGGGCTAAACATCGGTTAGAAGGCGTCCAAATCGGTTTTCTCATCGCAAAATTGAGATTTCGACAACGTCTCTGTCGCGATAGATTATTTTTCCAGACGCTTTTTATGAATAAAAAAGAATTACACAAGATAATGGTAGATGACAATCAGACTTTTGTAAGGAATCTGGAATTGAATCGGAAGAGTTCAGATTGATGTGCTCGTCGAAGCAATGCCAAAGCGAATGAATATGCTTATATAGCCAGCATACCTATTGCTGGCTTCACGCGCTTGTAGCTCGGTGAAAAAAGTAGCTTGTAGCTTGTAGCCATTGACTTTGACTTGACTTTTGGCTTTTTTAAAAACCCTGGTCCAGATCATGGTGGCGATCACAGTGGGGAGGGATGTCAATGAACTCTTTTGACAGGGAGCCATCTGGCCGCGTGGCGCAATGGATAACGCGTCTGCCTACGGAGCAGAAGATTGAAGGTTCGAATCCTTCCGTGGTCGAAATCCTTTTGAAAATCGAAATTTTGATTTCCCTTTGTTCCCTTCGCAAAAATCGTTGTTCTTCTCTTTCAAAAACCTGACTCTCTTGATTGAGATCACAGAATTTGGCCAGAATCGCAGAATTCCACGATTTGGCACCGTAAGGCGATAAAAATGATATTTCTAGAGAAAAGCATGACGGCTTTGGAATTGTGATCACCGATCTGAATACAGGAAAATGATTTTTAAACTCTTTTGGATAAGAATTCTTGAAAGCTAAAATATTCCGTCTTAAAATATGAATCCTTTAATTTATTGTATTCCGAGTTGCAAAAAGGCCATCATAAAGAACTTTCTTTTCAATCTACATGCAATTCTTGCTAAAACTTAAAATCTAAATAAGTTTTTAATACAAGTCCAAAAAAAAATCCTCAATTACTGCCTACTTCGAACTCACGGGAGTCCTTGGGCAAATGAGCAACGGATTGTTCAACATCTGAAGGATCATTGAGGCTCAGATAGTAAGAGAAATTGAGCGAAACAGAGCTCGTCACTTCATCATGTAAAAAAGAACTGGAATATAAGAGTTGATTCAAGTTTGCCTTGAGCAATTATTTGTTTAAGCGGCTGTTTTTGTTTTTTGAATGCTAACTAGACTTGCTTATTGCTTATTTGGTTGTATTGGTTATTTTGTATTGTATTGGTTATTATTTGGTTTGGCCAAAAATTGATCCGTGGAATTTGGGCATGGTGACGCAAGAAGAGGGGAAAGCTCAATCGCTCAGTGCTTCTTCCCCTATACGGATTCCAAAGAAAAATTAAAATTAGAATTGCAAAAGGCTTTCGAGCACGGAAGGATTCGAACCTTCAATCTTCTGCTCCGTAGGCAGACGCGTTATCCATTGCGCCACGCGGCCCGTGAAGTGGTTGAATTGAAAAGGGTTTTTGAGAGGAGGGATTACTGTATTTCCTCTGCTAGTAGAGCACCTGGATCGTTGCCTAAATTGCTCGAAATCTCGAAAACCGCTTATCAGAACCTATCGATGTGGGGTCGAAAAATGTAGCTGACGATCGGATCTTGTGGGGGATTTGAGTGTTGAGCTTCTGCAAAAGCCTGGAACCCGTAAAATATTAGGTTGATGCAAAAGTCTTTTTCATTTTTTTCGTACTTCTTTTGAAAAATAACAAAGTCATCAATTAACCTATGGTTTGCTCTAAATGAAAAGTGTTTATTGTTGAATTTCCCATCTTTTTAAGTCAATTTGGGTTCACTTTCAAGCAAATTCGAGAGTGAAAACGGGTTTTTCATAAAAATCTATAAAAACCTCTATAAAGAAATTGGCTGAATCAATTTCTCTGAAAATCTGAAAAAAATATCGAACTTTTTGTGCTCTATCTTTTATTTATTAACATCAAGATTGGTTTCCTTAGCTAAAGCGTCTAAAATGCATCATCGAGCCGTCGCCTTTTTTGACTACCCGACTTCAGGCTCTCAAAAAAATCTAGACATAAGACATTTTAAACTCGTTTTAATGTCATTTTGCAGAAAAATAATTGGCCTTTCGAATGCAATAAACCGTTGTTCAATTGGTGCATTGGTTACTTTTTAACGGAAGTACGAAAAAAATGAAAAAGACTTTTGCATCAACCTAATAGTCACCAACTCGGCTCGGCGGGGTGCACTACTATTAGAGAAAATACGGAAATCGAAAGGAAAATCTGTCAAAATCTTGAGTTCAGATAAGATTCTCGGTTCTATAGCTAGAATTAGTACAATTTTTGTATCATTTAATCTAAAAGAAACCTGATTTTCTAATCAAAGCCAATATCGAATAGCACAAACAATACACAAGCAAAATCCTTAAGCCCTAAATGTAGGAGGAAAAAAGAACCCATATATCCCGTATTCTCTCTAATAGTAGTGCACCCTGAGCGTCGCCTAAATTCCTCGAAATCTCGAGAACCGCTTATCAGAACCTATTGATGTGCGATCGGAAAATGTAGCTGACGATGAGATCTTGTGGGGGATTTGAGTGTTCAGCTTCTGCAAAAGCTTGGAAACCGTAAAATAGTCATCAACTCGGCACGGCGTGGTGCACTACTATTAGAGAAAATACGGTAACAGTTTGGCATCAATTAGGATAAAATGGCAACTTCATTAATAAACTCTTGGATTTTTTACAATCGGTACAATTCTATCAAACAATTCTAGCAAAAAGCTATCGATCACTGGTTTCAAAATCAAAATTATTAAAATGAAAAAGTTCTTGAAATGTTAGAGTTTGTTGTTGATGTTCTAAAGAGTTTAAAGCTTTAAAGAGCCCTACTTGGAGTACTTGGAGCAGTCGATGATCGTGAGATCGTGAGATTTGTGGGATTTTACGAAGAAATTTCCAAGCTCAGAGGTGGTAAAGGCAAGAAAATTGTTAAAGAAAGTGAAAACTGAATGTGATAACTGCTGTACTATTGTGTTTCTTGTTTTTATAAGTCATAAGAACCGTTGAATAGTTTCATTGTATCGAATCAATGAATTTTTGTTAATAAACTTTGAAAGTTTCCGATTGTCAAATGAAGAAAACGAAAAATGAGCAAAGCAAAGCAAAGCAAAGTTAAAGAAAGGGCTATCCAGTAAGAAACTGCTTACTGGATAGCCTGCTTACTGGATAACTGTTTTGATTTCAAGAGAGGAGATAAAATTTTTAAAATGATAGATCCCTTTTGGCTACGGGCCTGAATAATAAATAAGGCAACAAGGCAAACAAAAAAGCGAATAATAAATAAAAGAATAAAAGACAATTGAATCAAATCCTTCTACAATAATCATTTTTTCATTTCACACACCGAATCAACAAGCACAAACTCATCATCTTCTTTTTCTCCATTTTTCGGTCTTCCTCTTCTTCTTGTTCCGATTTGAGCTCTTTTCTCGCGAATTGTGCAGCCTTGGCGACGGCCGGTGACTAAAATGAGAAGAAATTTTGATACTTTTATAGTTTTTAGATAAAATTGGTCAACCAGGATGGTTCTAGCTTACCAGCGAACCCCTAAGTTATGTTTCAGGAGTGATCTAATTCGGAGAACATTCAGGAGTCATCTGATTCCGAGAACATCAGTGATCTGATGGTTAAGCGCCTCCCAAAACTGTTTACAAATCCTACTTATCATAAGCCACTTTCGAGATCTAAGCCTTCAAAGTTTCGGCCAATTTTGCCAAACAGTAAGCTAGCCTACTTAAGGCATTCGTGCGGGCCAATCAGTCTGCGACGGTAGCGCTATGGATAGTGTGTAAGTGCATCAGAATCTCGGGGTCCGTTCTTCGGATCCTTCTTTTTTTTGTCTTTTTCTTGATTCGCTTTCTTTTCCTTGTGTTTTCCTTGTGTTTTTCCTCAAAAAACACTTGAAAATTACTTTTTTGATCAGTAATCTCTTTTACATTGCATTTAAATGCCTACATACTTTAGGGCACAATGAGCAAAGTAGATGGAAATGCTGATTCAAAGTTCAGCAGTTGTCATTCATTCCTACCCAATATGCTCAGTTTTAACACAACTCGCTGAACTGCTGGAAAAGTTATTTGTTGTGGTTTCAGAAAGGACAGATCAAGTGCCAGCTACTGTCACCAGCTACTGTCACCAGCTACGATCACCAGCTACGATCACCAGCTACGATCACCAGCTACGATCACCAGCTACTGTCACCAGCTACTGTCACCAGCTACGATCACCAGCTACGATCACCAGCTACGATCACCAGCTACTGTCACCAGCTACGATCACCAGCTACGATCACCAGCTACTGTCACCAGCTACGATCACCAGCTACTGTCACCAGCTACTGTCACCAGCTACTGTCACCAGCTACTCTCACCAGCTACTGTCACGCGAATGGAATAAAGAAAAGAAAAGTTAAACCTTTGGCTCTCAAAGGGTACATGTTTCTATGTCCTTCCGGCTATGAGAACTATTCCTTCCGGCTGTACCAGACTAATCCACTAACCAATTTGTGGATCAGTCTTTTTAAGGGGGTAAGAAAGAATATACAAATCCGGCAATACTTAGTCAGTCAGTCAGAATAGTTCTGGCTTAGTCAACTTGTCCCCGATCAAATCCAAAACTATTGTAGGCTAGGACAAAGGCTGTAGGCCAATGATTTTCGCTCAATTCCCTTAAATTTACTTAGTTTTTTTAACAATCCAAGCCAAAGTTAAGATTTTAAACCAGTCAAAAGATAAACTTTTGAAGATTTAAAGTTTTATTGTTCAACTTCATACCTTCGGGCACCATGCCGACATCAAGACATTTCTGGTAACGACACGCGATACACTTGCCCATTCCTGAGTTAGTTTAAAGTTAGAGCTTTATTAGACACTAAAACATTTATGCTTAACCTTTTGCGAGAAAATTCTCCTCCACGCATTGCCCTGAACTCTGACATGGAGGCAACTCTCGATCCGATGTGGCAACTCGCATGAAAAAATTCTTGCAACTTCTAAAGAACAATGATTTCAACAACGCATTTGAAACTTTTCTAAAATCAATATACTAATAGATAAAGTGCTCACGATCAGTTCTAGACGTTCCCTTGTAAATACTGAGTTACACTTCAAATACCAAGGCTGCGTAGTTGTTGAGCACCAGATTTGGAATCCTCGTAATCGATTTACCTTTGTGCTCAAAAAAACTCAAAACAAATTGAGAACACAGGTTATCTGAAGGACTATATGGTAAATCGTAAATCACCAATGTAAATCGTAAATCACAAAGGTAAATCGATTACGAGGATTCCAAATCTGGTGCTCAACAACTACGCAGCCTTGGTATTTGAAGTGTAACTCAGTATTTACAAGGGAACGTCTAGAACTGATCGTGACATTTCGACACGAAACGTTGACACAAAGATAAATCGATTACGAGGATTCCAAATCTGTAATCGATTTTTGTTGACGCTTTGTTTGTTTGTTTTTTTGTTTTGTAATCGATTTTTGTTGTTGTTCAAGATATAAGCGTGCAAAGTTTTAACAAATTTCTTCAAACTGTCACCTTGGGCACCACGCTGTCACCTATAAAATGAAAAAAAGCAAAAGAAAAATCCAGAGTAGGAATCGACCTTGTCAGGTCTCCCTCGGGAAACAAACGTCCTACCACTAGGCCACGGCTGCACTGACCGCAAGAAGGCCCCTAAGACCCAAATGGCCACATTTCCAGAGTCCTAACCAAACATTAGGCCCTTATAACTCCTGGCAGATTGGCATTTAGCAAAAACGGAATACATATTCGAAATCAGCATAAAATTCTGCGTCGGAGGGTATAGGTTGCATAGTATTTGGTCGGCTCAGCCAGTTGACCTTCCCTTGTTAGTCAAAGCCGGAGCTTAGCTTTTAGCTTTTTGGAACTGACTTTAATGTATTAGCCACAACTTTCTGGAGTAACACGGCAAAGTAATTGGCAATTGACCGGCTCAGCCAGTTGACCTTCCCTTGTAAGCTTTTAGACTACGACTAGAGACGAAAGAAGCTTTACGGCATATAATTTCAATGTCTTTTTGAGGAAAGGTGCGGAAATATGAACTTCAAGACCTCTGATATAATCCTCTTTTTGTAAATCTTTTAGAAAATATTATTTTGGAGATCCTAAAAAAGCTAAAAAAATCACTTTTTAGCTTTTTTTGTCTCGTTTTCTATGTAAAACGCAAAAACAGAAAAATTGTAGAAGAAATAAATGAATAAAAGTGAAGCGAGAATAAATTGTAAAAAAAAAAAGTAAAAATAAGGGCTGGTGGGGGAATTGAACCCGCGAGCAAAAACGTCGTAGGTTTTGTAGACTAACGCACTACCGACCAGACCACCGCTTCAGATTATTCACGGCCTACTAATTCTAAAGTTTTTCACACATTTATCCCATGCATTTAGGCGTTTAAACGTTTGTTACGTTTAAACAAACGTGTTTAAACGTTTAAACCATTGACACAAATATTTCTCAAACATTTACGAGAAATGGGCCCGCTGATAATCCCCTGGGCTTGCCGCTATTAGAAAAGGTCGAAAATCGTTGCAACTTACATCCTTTCTTGATCTTTTTCCTTTCTCTCTTGCTCTTCATTCCCTTAGTCGTGGTGCCCTTAGTCGTGACAGTTTGAAGAAATTTGTTAAAACTTTGCACGCTTATATCTCGAACACCAAAGCGCGTCAACAAAAATCGATTACAGATTTGGAATCCTCGTAATCGATTTATCTTTGTGTCAACGTTTCGTGTCGAAATGTCACGGTCAGTTCTGAACGTTCCCTTGTAAATACTGAGTTACACTTCAAATACCAAGTCCGCGTAATTATTGAACACCAGATTTGGAATCCTCGTAATCGATTTAACTTTGTGCCAAAGTTTCTTGTCGAAATGTGACAGTCAGTTCTGAATGTTCCCTTGTCAAATGTGCAATCATCTCACTTCTTTTATCTTCTATAAAAAGACAGAAAAGCGTTTTTTTTTTGTTAAACCTAAGAATCAATCGTAGAAAAAGATTTAAATTTTCGATTAAAACAAAGGGTAAAATGATTGTACATCTGAGTACTGAGTTACTTAAAATACCGAGTTTGGATAATTATTGAACACCCTATTTCTTCGTTTTTCTCGCATTAACGATTTGAGCGAGATAATTGAGGAATTGGGTGCACTAGAAAGGCTATCTTTACACTGTTCAAGCAAAAAATACATTCCAAAGAGTAACTGTCACTCACCCGCATGCCACCGATCCGTAAACATTGTAAGCTGGAGTGGCACCACAGATCAAACATTTCTTAGCATGTTTTGAAGTAGAAGTTGAATCTTTTGCCTGACTGGTTTCGTCTGCCATTTCTGAAGGATTGACTGCTATTTCTGCCATTCTAGGCTTAAAATTTGGATTTAGAAGATTTCTGAAGATAGAATACAGCAGCCACTAGTTCTAAATATTTCAAAGAGTGAAAGATCATTAGGAAACTGTAATAAGAACCAGTTTTCTGGATGCAGAAATACCGATTCTTTTCTTTCCGATAAGAGGAGATAAAATATAGATAACGGAAGGATAAGAAAAGCTACAGAAAAGCTACAGGAAAGCTACAGAAAAGCTACAAAAAAGCCACAGAAAAGCCACAGAAAAGCTACAAGAAAGAGAAAAATTGAAAACATTTAGGTAAAGAATTCAGGTGAGTCAATATTTGATTGGAAAATTGTGGCTAGAGCTTTTCTTAAGCTTAAGTTTACAAAAGCTTTTCTTGAAAGACTATTGTAAAGAGGTTACTGTAGGCTCAACGAGAAAACTATAGCTTTTTTCTAAAAGCAACTTTTAGAATCAAGAAAAACACAGTCGACAGAAAGGGAGGCACACAGGAAAAGCTGGGCGTGCCTTTGGTGAGTTTCGTAGGTAAAAACGGCATCTGGCACACGGCCTTTCCACATAGAGCGACAAAGACCCCCATCTCGGTTTAATTACCCAAGTTTCCCCCGATCCCAAGACCTCGCAAAATCGTTTTGAAAACTTTGGGAAGGGGAGGGAATGCACAAACGAATCCACAGGAAACCCGGCTCATCTACTCAAGTCTCCAAATTTAGAACCCACTAATAACCGAAAAATTGTTTCTATAATAGAAGTGATTTGTTATTTAACGAAATAACCTGCTTTGATGTACCATATTTTTGCTTTGATGTACGGCCTTTCCACATAGAGCGACAAAGGCCCACATCTCGGTTTAATTACCCAAGCTTCCCCCGAGCCCCGAGCCCTTTTTGATATGCAATACTTGAAATTAGGTTGACAAAAAAGTTCGTAGAAAAATTTTGCACGTTTGCAGTTTGCAAGTTCGTAGAAAAAGGAGTACAATCTGGTTATATCCGCCCAAAAATTTGCATTTTATTATTGAGTCGGGTTTGACGAAGGCTTAGATTTTCTCAAGCAACTTTTCTTTCGTCCGATCGTCAACTTCCGTTAAAAAGTGAAAATAGTACAGGATTTATGTACATTTACTAGAATTTAACCAGATTAATGCATGGCTCTTTTTTTAGTTTTTAAAATCCAAATATTTAGGGGGTTATAACCGGATAGTAGGAAAAAGGTAAAAAATAAGAGATTTCTTTAGCTGTAAGGATTTCGTTACTTTTTGAATGGCTTTAGACAAGTTTTTAATGGGTTAATGAATAAGTTTCATTGAAAATCTAAAATAAATTACTTGAAACAAAGAAAATTTGCGATTAAGACAAACTTTATCTAAAGCTTTAGCTTTTCAGAATAACCTATTTCAAACAATTTATGTTAAGCAGCACCCTATTTCAGCAACGCAAAGTGAGTGTTGGAGCTCTCACTTTGCGGCCATATTTCTTGTACTAAACAAGAGTTTTTCTAAAAGTTATTTAAACCAGTATGTAGCCCAATTGAAGGGCTACATTTTGATATTAGACTCGCACAAAGCGATTAAGGCAAATTTTATCTAACCGCAAAGTATCTAACTGCAAGCACCGCAAAGTGAGAGTTGGTGCTCTCACTTTGCGGTCATATTTCTTGTACTAAACAAGAGTTTTTCTAAAAGTTATTTATACCATCGTGTAGCCCAATTGAAGGGCTACATTTTGATACCAGTCTTGCACAAAGCGATTAAGGCAAATTTTATCTAACCGCAAAGTATCTAACTGCAAGCACCACAAAGTGGAGTTGATGCTCTCACTTTGCGGCCATATTTCTTGTACTAAACACGAGTTTTTCTAAAAGTTATTTATACCATTATGTAGCCCAATTGAAGGGCTACATTTTGATACCAGACTCACACAAAGTGAAGACCCTGGTAAATGACAATTCCATTCAGCGCAACCTTGATGGTACTAGCCGACCGATTGAGCTAAAAATTCGATTATACATGTAAAAATGTTATAAAATTGAAATTATAACAAACTTTTTAAGTAATCTAACACATTTTTGAATTAATCATATAAGATTAATCATATGATTTCATATAAGGCCACAAATGAGTCATTATGGGCCAAATTATGGGTCATTGACCATCTGTACTTATTATGGGTCATCTATCCTTATTGTTAGCTCTGACCAGGGATGTTCCAGCCATTGGCCGGTGGCCAAGTAAGGCTAGAAACAGAGCCAAAGTAGCAAGCCAGATACAGATCCATTTTTAAAACAAGCCTAGCCTTGATTTTTCCTTGCTAGATCTGGGAAAAGTGATTTTGCAACAATCCTGCTCAACAATCTGACTTCAACATCAAGATAAAATCTCCTTAAAATCTAGAAAATTTTCAAGAGAGTCAAGATTCAAATAAATTCAACATCTCTACACATTTCCGGTTTAAAATCAGCCAAGAAAGATTTTTTCTAAACTATAAGTGCTTGGTTATTCTCATTTTCCTTCCTTTCTTTCTTTCTTTCTTTTTTTTTTCTTTCTTTCTTTCTTTCATTTCTCTCCAATCCTTTTCAAAAGAATGATTTTCAGGAAAATGTTTTTGGATTACATCTCATGATGATCATTTGAAGAGACTCAAGTTAGGATGAGCCTAAAATGCGTTTGTAGTGTCATCTTGTTGTTATAGAAACGCGATTTGAGACGATTAGATGAATATGGACATAGATTAAGAAGTGGCTTCTACCAGGGCAAAAAAATTGGATACGCAAAAAAAAAGTTATCCATGTAAGCAGTTAACTTTTTCTTGTAAGTGATTGCTAATCGTAAACAAATTTTGGTGAATATTTGATCGTGGGCAGAACTAGCTTGTAAGCCAAGCCAAGTCCGACAAGACGAATACAGAATGCTTTTATATCATTGTGTAGCCCAATTCAAGGGCTACATTTTGATACAAAACTTGCACAAAGCGATTAAGGCAAATTTTATCTAACCGCAAAGTATCTAACTGCAAGCACCACAAAGTGGAGTTGATGCTCTCACTTTGCGGCCATATTTCTTGTACTAAACACGAGTTTTTCTAAAAGTTATTTATACCATTATGTAGCCCAATTGATGGGCTACATTTTGATACCAGACTCACACAAAGTGAAGACCCTGGTAAATGACAATTCCATTCAGCGCAAATTTGGTGAATATTTGACCGTGGGCAGAGACAGTCGAACTATCTTGTAAGCCAAGCCAAGTCCGACAAGACGAATACAGAATGCTTTTATATCATTGTGTAGCCCAATTGAAGGGCTACATTTTGATACCAGACTTGCACAAAGCGACTAAGGCAAATTTTATCTAACCGCAAAGTATCTAACTGCAAGCATCGGAAAGTGAGAGTGGGTGCTCTCACTTTACCGCCATATTTCTTGTACTAAACAAGTGTTTTTCTAAAAGCTATTTATTCCATTATGTAGCCCAATTGATGGGCTACATTTTGATACCAGACTTGCACAAAGTGAAGACCCTGGTAAATGGCAATTCCATTCAGCGCAACCTTGATGGTACTAGCCGACTGATCGGGCTAAAAATTGAATTATACATGTAAAAGTGTTATAAAATTGAAATTATAACAAACTTTTTCAGTAATCTGACAGATTTTTGAATTAATCTGCTTTCATATAAGACCAAAAATTATGGAAAGTTTATGGAAAATCTTCCAAGACTGTACTCAAACGAATTTCTTCGTTTGAATTTTCGCTTTCAAACTTTAAATTGTTTCAATAGTTTGAAGTTGTAGTTGTGAAGTACTGTGTGAAACGTCTGTTTCTATTATTTCAAACAAATTCCTCATTTCATGAAGCTTTCCCAAGACTGTACTCAAACAAATTTCTTTGTTTCACTAAACGCATTAATTGACTATAAACTAGACCAATGTAGAAAGGGTTTTTCAAGAAATTTCTCCCCAACAAATCCTGAGTACATCGATTTTCTGGGATTTGGATTATCATCAGAAATATAGATTTTCACTCAAACTATTTTCATCAAAAAAATCGCTTAACTTGATTGAGAAAAATGGGAAAAATGGAAAAATGGTTCAAAGGAAAAAATTTTAGAACTTTTTGAAGAATGAAAATTGAAGAATTTGAGATAAATTCGGATTTTCGTTGGGATTTTCTCTTTCTTAAAAGTCAGTTTTATAGATTTTCTATTTCCCATAGCTGTTTAAATGAAAAACAAAAATATTTTAGAAGTTTTTAAAAAGATTTACAAAAAACGACTTTTAGCCAGGGTTTCTTTTTTTCATATGGCGTATTTTTTGCTCTAGAAAATTGAAATAAGACTTTTCTGGTGGAATTCTTTATTTTTCTTTTGAAATAGAGCTTAAAATAGTTAGATTAATAACTGAATTGAATGATTGAATGTACTTTGTGCTTGAAAGTTAAGGAACGCATCTTTTCTGGCGCAATAAACTGTATAAGTGGATTGCTGTGACAAAATAAAAAAAAGGCAAAGAAAGGTAGATAGATGTGGAGATTATGCAAATAGATACGTGTAGCTTTCAGTTTTTTTTGGCTAATTTCCTAGCAAATAGCTATTAACAAAAACAAAAGCAAATATTGGGTTGGGGAGAATGAAATGGCGCCAAACTTGAAAGACACTTTTTGCAGGCATAAAGCCTTCTTTAAATATACGTTTTCTTTCATTAAAAGGATCCACTATTTCTCTACAAAATCACTTTTGAGAGATTCCACAAAGCTTTTCTTTCGTGGAGTTTATGAACTTCCAAACGCAGCTGGTTAAAATGGCAAAGAGTCCGACTCATCATTTGAACAGTTTCTTTCACATAAACCTTCTTTGGTGTTTATATAAAAAAGATAGAGCACATTCAATTACTTAAGTTGCCAAATTTGCAGGAAGATCCCACCAATGGTTTTTTCTAGATCACAGTTTGTAGTTTTTGTGAAAAAATGGCTTTTTCTTG